GGAAGATCCCCTGGAGAAGGAAATGGCAACCCACTCCAGTATCCTTGCCTGGGAAACCCCTTGGGCGGAGGAGTCTAGCAGACTACAGTCCACGGGGGTCGCAAAGAGTCAGATATGACTTAGTGATTAAACACCAAGTGGCCTGGAGCCCTGCCTGAAAAAGCCGTGTGTTGCTGATTGAGAGGAGTGAGTGGGAAACCAGCCGCAGAGCTCTAACAGGCCAGGACGCCCCCTCGCTCAGCTCCAAGGACAGAGGTGGCCTGTGACGAGCTGCATCCTGCTTCCAGGAGGAAGGAGGCTGCCCTTGGTATATTGTAAGTCGCTGGCATGATTCATATGGCTGGAGCATCTTGTCTCAGCAAGGCCATCTGTCACGCTCCGAGCAGCGAAGGGGGAAGGGAGAACCTGTGGGCTCTGGTCAGCTGTATCCCCGCTGTACTGCTTGGTGAAGACTCCCCATCGGGAGCTCTGGCCCCTGCAATGAACCCAGGAAGCAGGGAGCCTGGGTACACTGCAGCCTGACTCAGATTTAGACAGAGCGTGGGGTCATCATCCACCCTCAATACACACACATTCACACTTTAGATCGTAATGTCAGCCCCGGGAGGGAGGGATCTTAGAGACCATCTCATCCAAACCTCTCATTTCACAGATGAGGAATCTGAGGCCCAGAGAGATGATATGTGCCTGGGACCACCCAGCCCGTCTGCCCAGGGGGCACCTGGTCAGTGCTCCTTCCACTGCCCCATCCTCTTCTTACCCAGATGCCCAACTAAGAAGCTCTCCTTTCGCCATAACCTTCTCTGAGCCTCAGATGAGTATGAGCTGTAACCCTCTTCTCCCAAAATTAGTATGAGCTGTAACCCTCTTAGTTGGGCACCTGGGACCATGCTTGTACTGGGCTGGTTTTAGGTCCTTTTCTGTGACCCCAAAGGGAACTCCTTGAGGGCAGGACCGTGTCTGTTATAGTCCCAACACCAAGCGCTCAAAATGACACAGCAACGAGAACCATCTCTGCACGGGAGATGGTCACGTCCAGGTGAAAGGGGGAAGCAAGGCTTCCAGGCAAAGTTAAAGAAGTGAGAGGTGCACGGGGCCTGCAGCCAGACCTCCCCGCCTAGCCTGCTGAGTCACACTCCCCTGGATGGTTATTTGCTTCTTTTCTGCTTTATTCACTTATGTATTTACTTTGACTTGCAGAATGTGTCTCTGTACCCACAGAAAATGCAACCCATCCACTGAACACAATAGTTTAGGACATGCCTGGTACCTGCTGGCTAACCTTAGAAAGAGCCTCCCGCTTAGCACTGACTCCAGAGAGGCTATCAGAAAGTGGCCAGGTGTGACTTGAGTACAGGAAAATGAGGAGGATTTGGAAGGTAGAGAGATGAGGTGAGGGTACCTCCGAAAGCAAGCTTGTTCCCACACCAACAGTAAGTGTGATGAGGGACCAGTGGGTGGGAAGAAATACACAGTATATTCCAGGGGAAAGATGAAACTGGCCTGGCTAAAAGGAAAACGCCTTCAGAGGAAGAAGAGGGAGATAGGACAGAAAAGACCCATGAGAAGTTCACATTTAAAAAGAGGAAGGCTAGCTGAGTTTAAGCTGACATTTGAAAAGGCGTGGCTAGTCCCAAACCAAATCCAGGTCATCACTCACCTGTGCTCTTTCAGCTATGAAATTAAGAATGAGTTCTCACAGGTTAATGACATGTGGACGCTAAGGCCCAGTGATCAGAGTAATGTTATTCCTAATTATATAAAACAAAAGCACTACACAAAATAAGTATCAGGGCAGTGAAGCACCCCAGCTAACCCTCAGCAGAGTGCAGATAACAGTGCAGCCATGAGGAGTCAGGCCTGGTCTCAGGACTCGCAGCGAGAACCTAGAGAAACGGCTGCCCATTTTGAGCCTCTGCTTCCTATTTGTAAAATAAAGACACTCACAGTCTTCACTCTGCGGCGATGGTGTGAAAATTAGATAAGAACCCACATAAAATGCTTAGATAGGGCCTGACCAAAAGAGAACACTCAATAAGCATTAGTTGCTTATTATTATTATTATTATTATTTAGAGGTTTGGTGATGATGATGATTATATACAGGTTTGGTTTAGTTAATATACTATATTTAAATACTGTAGTTGCTGTTGTTTAGTTGTAAGTCATGTCCAATTCTTTTCCGACCCCATGGACTGTAGCCAGCCAGGCTCTTCTGTCCATGGGATTTCCCAGGCAAGAATACTGGAGTGGGGTTACCATTTCCTTCTCCAGAGAATCTTCCTGACCCATGGATCGAACCTGCGTCTCTTGCTTGGCAGGCAGATTCTTTACACTGAGCCACCTGGGAAGCCAAAATACTGTAGTGGAAAACTGTAAAACCTTTAAATATCTTGTGGTAGAAGAATATTTACTTAATAAGAAAGTGGTCACAATTTAGCAAGTTGGCAGTGGGGAGAGAAAGCATGCTACAAGCAATGTTCAGTTCAGTTCAGTCGCTCAGTCATGTCCAAATCTTTGCAACCCCATGAATCGCAGCACGCCAGGCCTCCCTGTCCATTACCAACTCCCAGAGTCCATCCAAACCCATGTCCATTAGGATTTCCTGTGTAAGATTTGGGGCTTCCCAGGTTGCTCTAGAAGTAAAGAACCTGCCTGCCAGTGAAAGAGACATGGATCAATGTAAGAGACGCAGGTTCGATCTCTGGGTTGGTCTCTGCCAATGTTAGAGACGTGGGTTTGATCCCAGGGTCAGGAAGGTCTCCTGGAGGAGGGCATGGCAACCCACTCCAGTATTCTTGCCTGGAGAATCCTAAGGACAGAGGAGCCTGGCAGGCTACAGTCCACAGGATCACAGTCACACACAACTGAAGTGACTTAGCACACACGCACAGTTAAGATTCATGGGTGAAAAGAAATATGAAAAAATGCAAAAAAAAAAAAAAGGAAAAACACACACTGCGTTTAGCTCTATGTTTTTCCATGTTTTTTAATGGGAGGAAAGAAGTTAATAACAAAAGTAATACCACTACCTTCACTTTGAGCAAGGCTTTTCATTTTCTATCACCTCATTTTTATACTAATTTTATTCTTAATAGCCCCTATTAAACTGTTATTTTGCCAAATGCCCTTAAGCCAAAAACCTGAAATCCACTTACCTACCCCCAAAAGGACAATCTTTCCACTAAAAGACCATCTTTCACTAACATCTTTGCTAACAATCAAGTGGCTGGCTTTCCCCAGTGTGAGGAGCAGAGACACATAAATCCACTTTTATAGCCAGGACTTCAGTGAGGAGTTTCAAGAAGAGATGTTTAAGTTAATGATGCACTGCGGTAGCATAGTAGAAACCATCCCTTAAATCAGGAGTCTGAGCCACACATCCCAGCGCCTGGCTAACCTTGCTTTATTGGCAGTATAATGCTAAAAATCTAATAACTATCTAAGATAACACTTCTTCCCAATGCATGTTCCCAGATTTCATGGTAAGACTGCCAGCTGTTTCCCCACCATCCACGTTCTCTCTCTTCCTTGGTAACAGACCCTGATTATTAGCCAGGCTCCACGCCAACCCAGAATAAAACCCTCCACCGCCCAGTGGCCCCCGCGCTAGCCATGGCTATGGGACTCCATTCTAGCCACTGAATACACACAGGTGCTGTGCTGGATTTCGAGGAAGCTAATGGGAGACGACTCGGCCAGAGGAGCAGCTTCCTCTGTGCTTCTGCTTTTCCCGCTCCTTCAGGCCTGTGACTCTGACCAAACAATTGGCATTTCAGAAGTCATCCTGGATCCTAAGGCAACCCTGAGATGCGGTAAAGAGATGTGGAGATGCTTTAAACACCCCCGGCCTTCTTTCCAAACACAAATGAATGTATACCTTGTTTTAGCCACTGTTACTTTGTTTTGTTTTTTCAAGTTATGTGCATTAAACCAAACCTTACTTCAGATGATACATGAACAGCCTAAGATAGTCTATGCTACAAATATGTCATAAATAGCACACGACTTTTTTAAACAGATGATCAGAAAAAAAATAAATAAATAAACAGATGATCAGGATATATAAAACTGTTTAATAAATTACTTTTTTACTGAACGTTTTGTAACAGACTTTATCACCAGCTATTTCCTTTTTTCCACAAGACAACCCCCATGTATACCTTATTCTTTTCTCTAGGGGTTCAAAGTCAACTAACACATATAATTCACAGAATTCTGCCCTCACATGACTATAAACAAAATGCAACTCTCTGGAGCTTCTAATAAAAACCAAGAGAAACAGTATCCCCAAGTATCCCCAGTACCCCCAAGTCTGCAAAACACAAAGAAGTTACAACTCTCATTCTGCAGGCAAAGAAATGACGTAACATTTCTAAAATGATTTTCAAGTCAGTACACGCAGCAATGGAATAAGAACAACAGTGTCATCGGGGTTCATATTGGATAAATTCAATCACGGACAAACAGCCACCCACAGACAAATACCAAGGAGTTACCCCAACTCACATGTGAGATTTACAGCAGGCATCAACGTCAGCATCAGTGGACTATGCACATTTCAGGGCATCAACCGTCTTGCTGGATGAGGTCCTTTAAAATAGTACCCTATGTATGCCCTGCCACCATACACTGTACCTGAAGGTCCCCCTCGGAAATCCTAAAACCCACATTAGGACAAGGACCAGGGTTTTGTCTCCAAGGAGACAGAATGACACTCAGGTCCCCTGCACTTCCTTAGCAAGTTAGTTTTCCCTTCATAAGAGTCTAGACTTCCGTGCTCGCTTCGGCAGCACATATACTGAAAGAGTCTAGACTTCCAAACATAAATCAAAAAATGTAAAACCTTGTATCTGCAGCTTGAAATTATACCCAGATGTAAAACTTCATAGAGGAAATTATTAACTTTTACAATCACCCTAGACCAAGTTTTTAAATGGGCTCAATTATGTAAGATTAGTGCACAATGCCTGGTTCACCCAGCATGATAAGGATATAAGAATGCATTTTTTAAAAATTCAGCTTCTATATCACGTTTTCTACCAACACATCTGCTTATTCTCACTCCATCACCCAAAGCAATCTCTAGGTAGAAATTTTTTTTTTTCCTTAAAAAGGAAGTCAGCAGAAGTTTTAACTTATTTTATACATTTAAAGGGCTTTCCTGGTGGTTCAGATGGTAAAGAATCCATCTGCAAAGAACCCAGGAGACCTGGGTTCGATCCCTGGGTTGGGAAGGACCCCTGGAGGAGGGATGGCAACCCACTCCAGTATTCTTACCTGGAGAATCCCCCACCATGGACAGAGAAGCCTATAGTCCATGGAGTTGCAAGGAGTCAGACACAACTAGGCGTACACACACATACACATTTAAAGAACAGAACTGTGCAGAAGGGATGAGAATAATCATATAGTAAAGAAATAGAATAATGGCAGAAGGAAAAGAGGAACCAGATTTACTTTATGGAACTTAAATCCTTCACATGCATTATATCCATAATACACAGCTAATGCTCCATACTCTCACCAGGAGGAAATCTGCTCTTACTAAAGGGGAAGAGGATGCATGTAGATGAGATAAGGGTAACAAATGCTATTTTAAAGTAAGTTGGAAAGTATATTTCTGTATATATGGGCCATATATGCTTTTTAAATGCCTGGGAAAATATGCCAAATGCAATATATACACTTCCAGAAGGAAAACATTATGGGTGATCCTTCTTTCTGTTTATCTACACTTCCTAATTTTTGCAGAACAAAAGTACTTACTACCTACATTATTTAAAACATATTTTTTAAAGTTAACAGATTCACAATAGCATCAACACAAAAATAAGCCACATCTGGAACAACCAGGAGGAAAACAGGGTCTAAAGGATTTCTGGGCTCAAAGCTGAAGGACACAGAGCGTGAAATTCCTGGGACCCCAAACTCCTCTAACGCCCTCCTCTCTGGACAGGATGCCCAAAGTGACTTTAGGCATATACCACTTAACAAACTGTATCCTCTCTACCATGCAGTTTAGGCCGGGGAAAGTCCAAATTACCACACAAAAGAAGCATACTCCCAGGGCCTGCTGATTCAGCCAAGGAAAGAGACTGAAGTTGATACCAACCCGCCATTTAATTATGTCTAACACTTGCTTTACATTCCAGTTTATGGGTTCTAGATGTTTAATAAACAGTTACTTCTCAGTTCCCTGCTATTAAACACTGTGTAGTTATGACAATTAATTAATACCACCTTGAGGCCATCAGGAGAGCTGTAGGTCTACCAGTGAGGTTGTGTTCCCCAAGCTGACACGGTCACCTGAACGGGCCTCACGGCTTAAACGACACGCCTCCTCTCTCTTATTCCCCTTCTCTGGTGGGAACTCAGGTTGGACAGTTCAGACAGAAATGCAAATAGATGGTATTGGTTTGCTCTATCTATTGTTTCACTAAAGAGAAAAACTCCTTTTGTGTTCAGAAGCACCCACCCTTTCCTCAGAATGGAAAAACGAACCTATGCGTTTTGTTTGAATAGTACATCACAGAGTTACACACTGCCAACCGTGCCTGCTAATTGGGTTCTTTCTTTTTTTGGTATTTTTCTTCTTTTCTTTTTTTGGTAATTTTTTCCCCCTTTTTCTTTCTCTTTTTGGCTGTGCCATGTGGCATGCAGGATCTTAGTTCCCCAACCACACCCTCTACAGTGGAAGCACAGAGCCGTAACCACTGAACCGCCAGAGAATTCCCAAAGGATGGACTGGCTTTATGCAGGGCATTTCACTGCCCAATAAGATTCCTGACACATCCACCCCAACCCAAGCTATGGACCAGGTCTGAAAGTGATCTCCAGCCCTCCAGCCCCACCTCTCCATACTCACTGTTGCTGGATTTAAGGTCTCGGTGGATGATGGGGACGACTGCCTCATCATGTAAGTAGTTCATCCCTCTGGCAATCTGCACGGCCCAGTTTACCAGGATGTCTGGGGGAATCCTTTTCCCAGATAATACTCTATTCAAAGGCCCTCCACGGGCAAACTCCATGACCAAGCAGAGGTTGGGTTCCTTCAGACACACCCCCCGAAGGGCAATGATGTTGGGGTGCTTCAGCATGGCAAAGAGCTTGGCCTCCTGGCGGACGTTCTCTATGGTCTGGCTGATGTCCTCGTCGGGATCATGGCGAGCTGCTTTCACGGCGACCTCATCCCCTATCCAGAAAGCACGATAGACCTTCCCAAAGCCCCCAGTGCCGATAATCTCTTCCAAGGTCAGCTCCGCAAAATCAATCTCTAACACTGAGAAAGAAAAGGCAAAAAGGAGCAAGTCAAAAACATTTGAAAAACACCATTTAATCACCCATTTATCTGGCTGGGGAAACACAACAAGCTGTCTATTCACTTGGCTTTTCAGTCTCCCCAGAATAAACTCCCCAAGGACAGGAAAAGGGGGTAACATTTTTTTCTGTGGCCAGCACATTATCTTTAGTGACCAGCACAAAGTAGGTATTCAGTAAGTATTCACGAAATAACTTCTACTTGGAACTTCATGAAGAATACTGTACTGAGAGCAACCATTTTAACTAACAGAAAAACTGGGGGAGATCAATCACTGTGTGGCTTATTCACATTTTACTCTGTATATACTAGATAGCAAGAAGCATATAATACAGTGCCAAGGCAGACAGACAACAACCAAACTGTAGGGTAAAAGAGCTTTGGTGGTGGTATGATCCGAAGATGAAAGAAATCACTCACTCCCACCACAGGAGAGGGATTAAGAGAGTGAGTGGGAAAAGGATTCTCAAGGAAGGAAACATCTGAAATGGGCCCAAAGAATGAGAGGAAGGGATATCATCAGGAAAAGAAGACCAAGGTGGAGAAGACAATCCCGGTAGATGGAAGGTCATGAGCCAGAACATAGGGCATGAAGCACTTATTCACAGTAGACATGACATGGAAACAACCTAGATGTCCATCAACAGATGAATGGATAAAGATGTGATACATACATACAATTGAATGTTACTCGGCCATTAGAAAGGATGAAATAATGCCGTTTGCAAACATGGGTGGACCTAGAGATTATCATAGCAAGGGAAGAAGTCAGACAGAAAGACAAACACAGTATGATATCACGTGTACATGGAATCTAAATTATGACACAAATGAACTTATCTATGAAACAGAAACAGACTCAAAGACAGAACAGACTTGGGGTTGCCAAGAGGGTGAGTGTATTGAAGAGGGATGGAGTGGGAGTCTGGGGTTAACAGATGCAAACTAGTATATACAGAATGGATAAATAACAAGGCCCTGCTCTTCCTACAAGGGAACTGCATTCAGTATCTTGTGATAAACCATAATGGAAAAGAAAATAAGGAAGAAAGTAAGTATATGCATAACTGGATCACTTTGCTATACAGCAGAAATTAACACAACATTGTAAATCAACTCTACTTCAATAAAGAGAAAAGGGGCAGGGGGGAAAGAACATGGGCATGAAGGTATGTAGCCTATCAGGAATTTCAGGGAGTCCAGGGCAGCTGGGTTGTATGCATTAGGGTAGATGAGGCTCAAAGTCTTGCTGGGGTCAGACTTGTGACTTAGAAAGGAAACCAACTCTGGCAGCTATGTGAAACGTAATAGCAAAAGGGACCGCTAAGGAGACCACCTCAGTAATCCAGACACACAAGGACAAGAGTCAAATCGCAGTAGCCGTGAAGACTGGAAATCAGGAAAAAAATCAGGAGACCTTCAAAACTTGGTTCTTCCAGGACCTGGTGATTAAAGTGTGCGACAAAGAGGAGTCTCCGAGGCAACATCTTACTCCCACCACACTTCCATCCCCGAGGTTCCCAGTGTCACCCCCACCCTCATCTCCCATCCCAAATCCAGAGTTTGAATCTACCATACTTGACTGTATCTTTAGCTGTCTGGAAAGACTTCCATGGATAGGGAATAATAACCACCAGTGATGATGAATCTTGAGTTAGATGTGGTGTCCTGTACAAGTATAGTGCTATTTCATGTTTCTCTCATGAAAACCCTATTCTCTGTCATCTCAGTCTCTTTCCTTGTCTTCACCCAGATGACCCAGGTGGCCTCGGGTCTCAAGCTTAACTATAATCTCCTAGAGGAACTTTTCCTAACCCTTCTACTAAACGAGGCCAGGCCCCCATCAAGCACTTCCATAGCAGTCTCTATTGGCAAGACTCATCGTTATAATTATTTGTTCAATGCCTATTGTCCTTGCCTTGCAAGATGCAAGAGGGCTAATCCTCTCTGCCTGACATACCACTGTCCCTTACGTGCTGAACATTCAGCTGGTGACCAACAGACAGTAAAGCAAAATGGGGAGAATCTACTTCAGTATGAAAGAAATCAAACTCAGAACTGTGGGGGAAAACTGGAACTGGACCTCCTGAAACAAATACAGAGAATAGTCACATTGCTATAGAAGAAAAAATTGAACACAAAGATCACGTATTTCTGAACTCTTGGCAAGACTGAAAGAGTTGCAGACTGTTCTTTTCTATTCTCAGCCAGCTCCACAATGTCTTCATTCTCCATTCAGATGTTGGTGGTGCTGAGACCTAGGTTCCTGCTCAGTTACAGCACTTCCATCCTATCAAAGGCTAATATTCATTTATATTTTGTAATTCACCTGGCAGTCTGCACAAAGAAAACTCTTAGGAAGTTAGTCAGACTGCCTTGAAGTCTACAAAATATGTGGCCCATTTGCACCCTCAAAGTTTCAATTGTTCAAGATTATCACCTCAGTAACCAACACAACATTGTAAAGTAATTTTCCTCCAATTAAAAAATAAATTTAAAAGTTTTATGAGAACAAAAGTAAATAAATGACAGCAACAACAAAAGGTCATCACCTTATCTAGCACCCTTCTTGAAAAATAAATGGTGTGTCCTGCAGACTAATAATCTACATCCATTCTACAATCCTCCAGTATACCTCTCAGTACTACAGAAGCTGGAAAGTTTAAAAACTACATTTCCCAGACTTCTTGACAGAGTGCTGATTCAGCCAATGAGATGCACAAGATTCAGAAGGCAGAAGTGATATGGAGACCATCTCCTTGCTGCTTCTCCTGCTAAGCAAGGCTGTGGAGAAGTGGGTTTTCTATAATATCATGTCAGTGTCCAATTATTCGGCTTCCCACGTGGCGCTAGTGGTAAAGAATCTTTCTGCCAGTGTAGGAGATTAAGAGACGTGGGTTCAATCCATGGGCCAGGAATATCCCCTGGAGAAGGAAAGGGTACCCTACTCCAGTATTCTTGCCAGGAGAATCTCATGGACAGAGGAGCCTGATGGGTTATAGTTAATGGGGGTAGCTTATTAGTTTTGCAGATGTGGAAAGGAAAGTTGCAAGGCCAAGTAGTCACCTAATCTCCAGAC